TAACGATATTGACCATTTGTATAACATTCCTAATTATAATAGACACTGCGTCAACACGTCACGACCCAGTGGTGGTGTCGCCCTATATGCTGATATCAAGTATAACACTTCTGTAAGAGATGATTTAAAGGGTCAGGAGGAGTACATGAAGAGTGTTTTCATTGAATTACGTAACGACACAGGAAATATCCGAGTAGGAGTAATCTACAGAAGACCCCACACTAATGTAAGGAATTTTCTTGATAAATTTTTGGAGCTTATCACTATCATAAGTTCAGAGAGGAAACATTCCTACATTACATGGGATTTTAACCCTGACCTATTAAAATCAGAAACCGACACTCAGTATTAGACCTTCTTGCTACCTGTCATTCTAAACTCTTCTTCAACACTATAACCAAACCCGCTAGAGTAACTGCCACCTCTGCCACTGTGATAGATCATATCTGGACTAACAACACTCCTAACAATCTTGCAAGTGGAATTATTTATAACAATATCTCAGATCACTTCCCAGTTTTTGCCAAGTATAAAACAGTCACAAGGCCTGAAAGGTCTAGTAGAGTCTCGATACAATACAGAGACTACTGCACCGACAACATGCTCCTTTTTGAAAACAACCTAATGAATACTAACTGGGATCTTGTCTGTGCCTCCGACTACCCTAACGTGAACAGCTCTCTTGTATCTTCAATGCCTGCTTTGATAAATGCTTCCCGCTCAAGACTAAGTCAGTGAAAACTGTATCCATTTCCTATATCACAAGCGAAATTAAGATAATGATAAAAGAAAAACACAAACTCTAAAGGAAATTTCCAAAAAGACCCACAACTTTCGGTGATGCTTACCGAAGTATCAGAAATAGAGTAACTCAAGCAGTTAGAAATGTCAGACGTAGCTATCATACAAATAAGCTCCATTCAGCATCAGGCGACAGTAAGAAAACCTGGAATGTCATACATTCTATTCAGAACAGGAACACTCAGCCTTCGGCCCCCCACTCAGCTTTTATGATAAGTGATTCAGCTGTCACGGAACCCTCCCCCGTTGCCAACCACTTCAATGAATATTTTATTAATGTAGGCAAAAATCTTGCAGAGAGCATACCTGATCACCATGATGAATTTAGAGCCTACCTGCAAAACAGACAGCAAAATGAGTTGTTCTTATCACCTATCACAGCAGATGAAATACTGGCCATCATAAAAATGTCCAAAAATGCAGCGGCGGACGAAGGCAATATACCAATGAGCATCATTAAGAAAGTAGCCCACTTTTTACTACCTGTTCTCCTACTCATTTGTAACTCCTACTTGAGTAGTGGTGTCTTTCTGGATAAAATGAAGATTGCTAAAGCTCACCCAGCATATAAAAAATCTGGGGACAAAGGTCTCTTCAAGAATTACCGCCCCAATATCAGTCCTCCCAGCCTTGAATAAGATACTGGAAAAGCTAGCATGTAGTAGACTAAATTCCTTCTGTAATACCAATAACATTTTTACAGACTCCCACTTTGGATTTAGAGCTAGAAGGTTCGACTGAGAGTGCTCTGCTATCCTTTACTAATGACATCTTAAATTCCTTTGATGACAGTCAGTTCACAGTCGGTATATTCTTGGACCTCTCTAAAGCCTTCGATGCTGTCGCCCATACCATCCTCCTTTGAAACCTTGAACATTACAGCGTTAGGGGCCTGTCCCACAGTTGGTTTACCTCATATCTGTCCAACAGGATGCAGTATGTCTACTATAATAATCACCAATCTGATTCCTCGCCAATCTTGCATGGCGTACCCCAAGGTTCCATTCCCGGTCCAGTACTGTTTTTGTTGTACGTAAACGACATAGTCCACGCCAGCACATTCATAAAATACAACTTACTGCAGACGATAGTAATCTATGCCAGCAACACAGACCTCCATTCCTTGATGGGAACTATAAACACTGAATTGACTAAAGTCAGGACCTAGGTAATACGTAATAAACTGACCATAAACCTTGAGAAAGCCCACTACACGATCTTTCACAGACGGAAAAACTTACCCCCAGACTTGGACCCCGTGTACCTTGGTAATAAGGTCCTCAAACGCGAACAAATACTAAATTCCTCGGAGTTATTATTGATGAGAAACTTAACTGGAGAAACCACATACAACCCATTCACAATAAAGTCAATAAACAGTGCGGTATCATGTATTACACGCGACAGTCACTCACTCTCACAGCAAAGAAAGAAATCTATCTTGATCTTGTTTACGAACACCCGATACACTGTCACGCACTATGGGGGGGGGGCCTCTGGCTCTTCAAGAACACAATCTCTGGTTACTGCACAAAAGATAGTTGTATGGACAATGACCTACTTGAAAAAACAGATCACACAAACGAAAAATTTGCTATATTGAAAATGTTAAAATTCGAAGATATTAACGCCTACTGCTGTGCCCTCTTTGTTTACAAATCTATCAATCACTTGCGTGACAATAATTATTTCCAGTTCCGGAATAATCAGAGATACGACTTAAGGCACCCAGAGCTACTAAGACCACCCCCCATGCACTCCTCTCATTCCTAGACCTCCATAAAGTATCACGGTGTGAAGGTGTGGAACAACTTACCCCCATCCATCCTAGCAAAGACTACTCCTTTAAATCATCTCTTAAAAAATATGTATTGTCTAAGTATTAATATTTCTTGTAACACCTACTATATTTACAGTACTTGCTTTTATTGTACCATCAAAACCGTTTTATCGGAAAATATCATGTACTGTATATAGACAAGTAATTACCATTGCAATAAACATAATTGCCAACTAGACATAATCCTGACAGCTCTGTCCTCTTGGTCAACTTTATTACTGTACAACCCAGGTTGTACTGCTCCCCCATTATACTTATGTTTTTCAATTCCACTGTAATTTATGTATATATATATATATATATATATATATATATATATATATATATATATATATATATATATATATATATATATATATATATATATATAATAAATAAATAAAATAAATAAATATTAAAGTGATAACCGTGGTAACATTATGAGATGTTCTTATTACTCTTATTACCACCATGCTATTGTACTATTCCAGATGATACTAAATGTTGCATAATAGTTCCTTGAGATAAATGTACAGTATATATGAGGTGCCTAAAAGAGAGCTCAGGTTCTCAACTGGCTCAGCCATGTTAATATTGTTATTATTATCCACTCTGTATCTGTGTTTTTCTAGCTTAATAAACTGTTTCAATTCAATTCAATTCAAAACATTTCCCTGATCGTTTTTCTGAAGGATCCTGGCTTTGCGACGTTGTTGATGTGTGTGTGGATAATAGTCGCTGGTATTGTGAATGGTAGTCCTTCACTCAGTTTCAGGTATGTAGGTTGTATGGAGTTTTTTCTTTAGTTTTCTCTAAGACTTTGGTAGTTGTGTCTTGCAGTTTTGTTGGGGTCCGTTTCTATTTACTTATTTACTCTTTCCTTTTTTTTTCAATTTCTTAATGATCTCTCTTCTTATGGGGCAACTTGCTGCCAGTGTTCTGTGGTCCTCATTACAATTCAGGCACTTGGGGTTGTCTTTGTTGCAGCATTTTCTGCTGCCTTCGCCGTGATAGGACTTCTCTCCAGACCCTTCACCGCCAAAGCCAGCCAGCTTTTGTCTCAAACTGTTGACGACCGGAACGTAAACGACCACCTCACTGATCATCACTCGCCGCCACTCAGCACTACTTAAACGCTTGGGAAGCTTGTTCCAAACAACTCCCTTTCTGTGTCGCCAGCAATGCTCAGGTGTTATCTGTAATGGCTTCCTGCAGCGGATTTGGGCCCCGATCCCACTGGTGTTACTTGCCCCATTTCTTTCTTTGTTCTTCCTTATTTTTCGCTCTGGCTTGGGGACCTGCACCATCGAGGTGTATTCGTCCTTGGGTCCCCCCTGTAACTGTTCACCTCCTTCCCATTAGTTTGTGAACACGAAAAGGGGTAGGAGCTGAGCCTTTCTGGGTAGCCGTGATCATGCGGGTTCACCTAGGAAAGGGGTCGCATTCCCGAATCCCCCCACCCCCTTGAATAGGTACACTAGCTCACGTCTATAAGTGAGCAGTCATTAACACTAGGGAAGTAGGAACCACTCTACGACTACGTGACCAGCAAGTGGCGGTGGGCAGTGTTGTAATTCCTTTGTTAGGTTGCTCTCCTAGAATAGGTAGGGTGTCTGTTACTTTTATTAATCTGCAACAGGACTGATGACGTGGATAACGACCAGGACTGAATGACGAGGACAACTGGAAACAGGATCCGGGTACGCTCCCTCCTGGGGGGGGGGGGGGTGTATCCGAAAAACACAAGGAGGAACTTGGCACATTAAACACCGCCTTGATAGAAGCAAAGGACTCGTTCGTAGTCCTATGCCTTCAAGAAAAGGATGTAGATAACATGCTCGCCGCCGATGCAGTCAAGAAACTAAAGGGAGAAAACTTCGAAATCGTAATACCACTACAACACCGTGCCAAGAAATTCATAGTCATAAAAAGGGTAGACAGGAATATATTAAAGGAAACTCCAAATTACATAGCCACGAATATTGAAGAAAAGAACCCCTGGGCAAGAGTCGAGGAGGGGGTGCTGATGCCCAGGACTCCTACCATGATGAAAGTCAGGTTTGCAGAGATCTCCATGGTTCAAAATGCTTTAGATAATAGACTATGCATCTCCCACTACCACCTAACAAAACAATAAATTGAACAAGAAGAGTTCCACCCAATAACACCGTGTTGGAACTGCTGCTAATACACCCATTTATCAGCAAACTGTGCCTAAAAAGTGACAGTTAGATTTTTACCTCCATGACACTGTTTACTCAGCAGGTTTAGCTCTGCATTATCACCATTGGTTTCATCCCTTATTAAATACATTACAGGTATATATGCTTGAAATACCAGAAAGAATACATTAGATAATTCTGAAACTATGTTGACTCACTTGTAGGGAGAACCTCCTGTGAGTTGCCTTGCGTCCTCCACGTCTCTTGGAGATGTGAGGATTGTCTTTCCGCATGGTCTTAGTTCGTAGAACCTCAAGTTGTGTGTAAACTCTCCTCAGCTCAGTCTAAAATCATGGGAACCAAAAGTAAACAAAAAAGAGAAAAACAATTAATCCCAATTCATGAATACAATATGAAAATTATCCAGCTACACTTGTTATGCTGGAGAAACTAAGTATAAGTATGATGACTGTAGGTAATGCTGGAGAAACTAAGTATAAGTATGATGACTGTAGGTAATGCTGGAGAAACTAAGTATAAGTATGATGACTGTAGGTAATGCTGGAGAAACTAAGTATAAGTATGATGACTGTAGGTTATCTGTGATAAATGTATAAACAGAAAACTGGAGTCATTCTTTGATTTCCAGTATCAACCTACTGTTCCCACACTATCTTCTCCCTGTTAACCTCTTCCCGACGTACCCATCACATTCACCACTGTTCCGACACTATCTCCTCCCTGCTAGTCTCTTCCCTATTACATTCACTACTGTTCCTACACTATCTCCTCCCTGCTAGTCTCTTCCCTATTACATTCACTACTGTTCCTACACTATCTCCTCCCTGCTAGTCTCTTCCCTATTACATTCACTACTGTTCCTACACTATCTCCTTCCTGCTAGCCTCTTCCCTCACTTCTGTTCCTGACACTATTCCTCCCTGCAGTCTCTTCCCTATTTAGCATTCACTACTGTTCCGACACTATCTCCTCCCTGCTAGTCTCTTCCCTATTACATTCACTACTGTTCCTACACTATCTCCTCCCTGCTAGTCTCTTCCCTATTACATTCACTACTGTTCCTACACTATCTCCTCCCTGCTAGTCTCTTCCCTATTACATTCACTACTGTTCCTACACTATCTCCTTCCTGCTAGCCTCGTCTCCATCACATTCACTACTGTTCCTACACTATCGCTTTCCCGCTAGCCTTGTCCCCATCACATTCACGACTCACCCTGATCTCTTCGGGGTCCATTTGACTAAGGTTGATATCGGAGGCCTCAAGATCACCATTAGTAAGAGCATCACAGTAGCGTGACTCCTGGGCACCTTCTGTGGTAGAGTAGGTCCTCCTGGGCAGGTCACGCCCCCCTCCACTACTAGCACACCACAGCTGTAACCAAAAATAAATATTTAGGTTCTTATAGGAATGAATTATATATATATATATATATATATATATATATATATATATATATATATATATATATATATATATATATATATATATATATATATATATATATATATATATATATATATATATATATATAAATATATATATACAGGTATACCAGCGGAATCGCCAGAGCTTCAGCACACTTACTCACATCAAGATTGGATAACACACCAGTGTTACGAGTGTCCGCCCTACGTTTCTGATCTGGGTATGAAATACGTTGGTTCGGTTGGTGTGTGGTTGGCTTGAGCAGTTACGCTCATTACTCGCCCACACTGACTGAGTCATCATTTAAGTATTAAATTTGTTTATTACATTGTGTATTTATTGTATTATGTTTGATTGTATGAGGTTTGTAAATAGGTTAGATAAGTGGAACTAATGTCAATAGGGTAATTTAGATAAAGTTTACGTTTTGGCCAATCGGGATATAATGCGTCAGTATTTGACGGTAGAGAGGTGACGTCGGTGACCTACTGTTACACTCTAGTAAGTCTAGGCACAGCTACTTTTAAGTAAAGAAGTATACTCTCTCTCTGGTGTTTTGGGAGTAAGCATTTGACTATTGAGATTTGTTTTGCTTGAAATTGATTTTGCGTGATCTTATTGGACCTTCAGTCCTTACTCCGCCACTTCCAAACATCGTGTCGTATAATAATGTCATTCATTTTATGCTATGTGCATATGTGGTTGTGAGAATAAGTTAATAATGTTCATATTTTTATTGACTTGTTTAGGCTTTGACCTGTTAACTTGACCTTTGTTGGGAAAACTTGGTGTCATGGTCACGTTGACTGCTAGTTTGTTTTAACTCTGTTGATTCTTTTTATACTACACGCCCGCAAAACATGAGTGGGTAGCTGGTTAGCTATCCCAAAGAAGAGACACGTTTTTCCCATTCGATTTATAGTCAGGATCCCTCCCAGTAAGTCCCGCCTTCGAACACAGTTGTCAATACGTTTTATTCCACTTTCTCCTGGCAAGCTCAATTTTGAATTAGTTTATGTAAATCAACTTAGTAATTCGCCAGACCTTTGTCAACTGAGGGTCACTTTTGAATAAGCAACAGTTGGTTTGTATGTAATTTCTGTCAGTGCGTGAGATAGCCACGTCCTGCAACTCGGGGGTATATAAACCACGGGACGGAAGATCAAGCCCCCCCTCCAGTGACGCTCCAACTTTGTTCCCAGGTATGTTAGACAAGTGTTCCCCGCCGATATAGCCATTCAGTTTGATTTAGTTAATTGTGTGAATATCAGTGTTCATGTTGTAACAGTAGAATTGTCATTCACCCAGGGTGAGAAATAATATAAAGTAAATGTCTGACGTTGACAGACGAGAGATTGTTTGTGATTGTCATCTCCTTTCCTGTGACGCTCCAACTTTGTTCCCAGATTCCAGGGTTTGCTTTTGAATATCCACCGGTTGTCCAGAGCCGGTGGATACCTAGCAGTGAGAAATATATGAATGATGGCGTTGATTCGACATGATTAACTTACCCCAAGTCCGCCTCGTGGGGCTGGACCCCAGACTGTCAACACATGTCGGAGTATAACCGACCACAACAGAGGTCATCAGTTGTTGAGTGTTCTACCCTGGAGCATTCCTGGCAGTTATGGTCCACTGTGTGTGTTGTATATGTTTGGGGATAATTAACTGGAAATAATTATCCCATGTTGGGTAGTGACTAGTGAACCCATGTGTAAGTTGTTGGTTTCAGTAGTAACGTGTTGTGTGTTGTGAGTGCATCTCATATGTACTAACAACAGTGTGAAGGTAACATGAAAGTTTGTCTGGTAATGTACTGTAATGCCATGTACCACCAGTTAGGTGTGAGAAGTAAAAGTATCCACGTGGGATTGCAGGTGAGTCCCTGTAATTTGTTGGTATCAGAATTAACGTGTTGTGTGTTGTGAGTGCATCTCATATGCACTACCAACAGTTACTGAAGTATCATATGTAAGCTGTCATTTGTCTATATGTAATGTGAGTAAAGTCAAGGAATTGATCCTTGTAACTGTAATGTAATGTAACACCAGTAAGGTTGTGTGTAGTAAGAGTACAGTATCTGAGTAAATTGCAGTTGAGTAAAGCCGAGGAGTTGCACCTTGGAGCTGTGTGTTAATGATATATTTTTCCCTACTTTGATTTCATATTAATAAACCGTTTCTTAGAGTATATCAGGGGTATTCATTTCCCCTCAGTATTTCACCTTTATTTCCGTCCAAGTGACTTGATATCAGAATTACAATATCCATGTGTCCTAGACCCTCGCCATGCTACCAAAAAGAACTGAGGTTATGTAGTAACCATTGAACTGAAGTAAGTAGAAAGAACAATTGAAGGAACTAAGACAAGAGAAGTATAAGTAAGACAGACGGGGAGCTTGTGTTAGGTTGAGTGAGAGAAGCCCCCCCCCCCCTTACATTGGGATTAAGAATCTAATAATAAATACTGATATATTTGAAAGACTTAAGTGATTTGTATTTATGTAACGATCTACCCTAGGTTCGTAACACCAGCAACCCTACGATTGGAGATCATAGGAAAGTTCATAGGTTCAGTAGGAGGAGTAGGAGGGTAGAGTTGGAATCGTCTAAGGTTGAGTTAGAGGAGAATAAGGTGCGAAAGAGATTGGCTTTATCTGAAGGAGATGTTGGTAATAGAGTTATCTGGTCGGAAAAGAGGAGGAAAAGAGAGAGTGCAGAAATTATTACAGATGTTTTTGGTTAAGGATCAGAAGGATTTACTAGAAGGATTTACTTAGCCCCACGAAGAATAGCCTTACAACGATTCCTAGAAGTAATGAAAGAGGAGTGGGTAACAGGAGAAGGAGATAGTTTCATAACTTGATACATCCTATCTCTCTCCCTACATGCAGGAGCGATTAAACCATGATTTTAACCCCAGCAAAGCTGTCAGCCAATAACGAGGCATCCCGAGTGGAAAAGCAACATTCATCCCAGGGAAAATCGGAGAAGAATTATCTAAAGAATTGCCAGTGTGCCCTCCGATTGTGCCTGCCATACTTGCCGTTTAGAGGGAGTGGGGGAAGAGTTCGCGCGCAATTTGATTTTATATAAGTAAGATTGTGATCAGAAGACCCAAAGGGGGCGGAAATTGAGTATGAATAGTGTGAGGGGTTAGAGGTAAAACAAAGATCAAGAATGTTAGTAAGTTGATCGTGTCGATCTGGAACACGTGTAGGGTGTTTAATTATTTGTTCCAGCTCATAAAGACGGAAAAAGAGAGTGCCTCGACTCTACCTGGGTCATCTCTTGAAGAGCCAAGCCACTCTCTGTGATGTACAGTACATTGAAATCCTCTAGGTAGAGGATAGCAACTACCCATGACAAGAAGTGAGAGTGTCAAAGAGTCCCATATAGTTGGTTGAGTTGGGAGAACAGTATAGGAAACAAAGAAAAATAGTTATAATTGGTAGAGATATTTGAGCCAGATGACATCATAACTAGGAGATTCAAGATCCGTGAGTCGAGCTATGGATGTACGTATGTTGCAGTAGGCACATACACCACACTTAGAAAAATTGGATGTGAGAATCTTGTGGCAGCTGTGGTTGTAGAAGAGTTGCCAATTCTTTAGCAACTTCTCATAATCTAAAATAATGATGAATAGTTTATTATAAAAATACAACCTTTCGTTTGTTTAATATGTATTCTGAGAGTGATACAGCTGAAAATAGATCAACCAATCACAATCACCATTACAAACAGCCTTGCTTTACCAAGCATTGCCAGCAACAGACCCAGGGTGGGGTCAGTGCAACTTTGGTTGGCTGTACATCATCCCTATAAATAGGTGTTGTAGAGCTGTTGTACAAGAACAGGAGAATCGAACCGGAGGAATGTGAGTTCAATATAGTCAGATATGACTCATTTACAAACCTTTCTCAAGCAATTTGTAGGGGTGTGGCTATGTATGCTAGGCAAGACCTTAGAGCCAGCCACGTGACGGTGTAGGGGGAGGATGTTTTTGAAGAATCAAAGTGGTGTAAAATGAAAGAAAATGGGAGAGACTTATTCATTGTCGGGTGTATCTACAGATCCCCAAATTGTAGCTTATTAAACCAAAGGAACTTAAAAGCCTTGATTAACAATGCAACGGCGCTCAACCCTTGCCACCTCCTTGTCTTGGGTGACTTTAACTATGGCGACATCGACTGGAACACCTAGCCCCGTTGGCACCAGTCACCACCTAATTTTCATAATTTTCTAGAAGAGAAAAATGAGCTACCTGAGGAAAGAGCCCTTTTATGTGATAAAAACTGGCTATTTGATTTGGCATTTTTAGTTGATGTTACCAGACATCTCAATGATCTAAATTTGAAACTGCAGGGCAAAAACAAATTGTTTCCTAGCTTAGTAAATGACATCAATGCATTCAAGATGAAATTAAAACTGTTCATCTCTCAGTTAGAAAATGAGGATTTGAGCCAGTTTCCGCACTTAAAAGAGCAGAGTGAATGTGCTGCTGATAATGGCAATTTGACAAAATATACTGAAAAAATCAAGTTATTGCAAGTCATTTGAAAGTCGTTTTCGTGATTTTGCTAAAGAAGAAGACTGCTTACTCGCATTTATAAACCCATTTTCACTTAGTGAACAAAAAATAATGAAGATGCCTAGTGACATACAAATGGAACTTATTGACTTGAAACAAATTCATTATTGAAAATGAAATTTGGTGAGCTTACCTCAGTCCCAAATGCTTCTGACATGATAAATTTCTGGCGATCATTACCCTGTGAAAATTTCCCAGAACTAAGAAAATTTGCCCAGAGTTATATATGTCGTTTCGGAACGACATATAGATGTGAACAAGCATTTCCATCCGTGAAATTGATTAAAAGCACAACGAGGTCGTGACTGACTGATTCAAATTTGAAGAATTCTCTGCTGCTCTCAGTCACAAAT